AGAAGTTTTAGATTTGCGTGGTTTTCTTTGAGTTGCAAAATCCACTTGAACATGACGCTGCTTTTTTCGAAGTTTCTCAAGAACCATTCAAGCCAGATAACTCGTTTTGGTATTGTTGGATAGAGAATTGAATGGAGGGGAGGGAGCGCCTTTGATTGCTCAATTTAAAAACTCTGACGCTGGGAATATTTTTCTGAAAAAAAATCTGTTTGTTCCAGATTATCAAGCATCTGCCGAAAAGCAGCGACATCATTTGCGCCACTGTGGACAAGGACAGTGTCCATCGGGAAAAAGCGTTTCTTTTCGTGAAAAACCGCAGCGATAAGTGGCACCCTACGAACTTTTCCGCTGGGAGGGAGTTTTGCTGCAAGGACCATCAACCCTACAAGTGCGCCAAAGGACCCAAATAGCAGCGATTTTTTTGAATAAATTAAAACAATTGGTAGTTGTGTGTTATTTTTAAAACCCCCGGCTATTTTATGGCATTCTGGAATTCAGTGCATACAAATTTCCCTCAAAAATTTCCTCTATTTAGCTGAACTGGTTCTACGTGGAAATTTTAGTATCTTTTGTCTAAGCCGATTGTTTAACAAAACCACCCAATTTGCTATGCACCGACAATCACAATCCTGCCATTGTCCTCCGTTCCATACATTACCGGTCATTATGCAACATTACGATGGGAATTCGGTAAAAGTTCGAATAAATCGGAAACGGGGCGCGATTAAAATGCAAGGCATCCAACCCCAACAACCCCCAGCCGGGCCGAATGCACCCAGACAGTCGGCCAGACACCGAAACCCTTGGATAAACAACAATTTGATGCTCCGATAAGAACGAGGGGTCGAAAAAAAGTAAAAGTCAATGACGTTAAGGGCGTTTACGGTGTCTAGGTCAGCTCGAAGGACCAGGAGCGGACTGAGGATGGCTCTAACAGTATTCTGGGCTTTTTACACTGTTTCTTGGATTCAGTCGAGGGCTAGTCCAGTTGATTTTTTTACGAAAAATTATTCAATCAATATGCAGCCCCTGCTGCATCAGTGGCCTTAAATTGTCTGCAAAATTCCAGAAATCGAGAAATATTTTTTCATCTTGGCTGAACGTCTCAAAGCTCCCCAACCGATTTCAACAGTTCAACAGGCAAAAGTTTGGGAATTTCATGGCCTTTTAAATGCTTTTTGGATTTTTCCAATCGGCCCGACAGTAAGAGAGTTTTGCGTGAATATTCCATATGGTTTTAGCCGAATTCAACGACCAAAAACAGAAACTAAATCTGTAATAATTATATGTTTTTATGCGAAATAAACGGGGATTTGCGATCTTTCAAACACCTTGAGGCGTTTCGAAATGGGCTCACTGATAAAAGAGTTATGGACCTTATGGACCAAAGAGTTGCGATTTTGAATCAGAACTTTTTCGTCGAAAAGTTTTCTAACTAACCCAAAACAGAACGTTGAGCAGGGAACAAAAACAAATTGTCCATGTTTCCATGTGTCGAGTGATTGCAACAGTTGGTGAAATAAAGCGATAGCGGTTCACCCTGTAGGAAAATCACCACCCATAATCAGTAAATGGTAGAACCCAGACAGAAACGAAGAATTTGCAAGGCCGCGAATGCACCAGATCGGGTTAGTCGCAGGTGGTCGATGGTTGCAGAAACGGCCTGCAGGACGGGGTGACCTCGACGAGGGTGACTCAAAAAAACTACCTGGTTTTGCGACGATCCGCAGAAGTTATGCGGAGACCCTTTGTTCTTTGCCGTGGTCGGCATCGGTTCCCCAACGAAGAAGAATCCCCAGAAATATTTTCGCAGGGCACCGATTTGCCGATTCTTAATGGAATTGATGGGTTGCAGCGGCGGCGTTTTGCCCGCTTTAATCAGACTGAGGTCCGGCTAAGGTCTGCATACTTTCACGGCATTTTTTTAGGGCGTGCTGAGTTGATAATAAAAAAATTGGGGAGCTTTTTCGTTCCACACACTCGTCTGCAACTTTCAATAGTGAGCCAAAAGTTGGAAAAATGGTGCATTAAACCCCAAAAATTAACGCGGAAGATTGCGGTGCTTCAAAGAGCTCAACAGAACTAAGTTTTCTGTTAAAGATCTTTGAAATTTACCTTTTCCAAACCATTCAATTTCGGCAACTGCTTTAGTTGCGTCTTCAATTGCCATTTACTCAGAAAGGGACACAGTTGGGGATTTTGACTAAGAGATTGTTTTTCATCCACACTGTTCAAGCAATCCCAATTCCCCACTTCCCGAGGCAAAATCGGCAAATTTTTTATATCGCTCAGAAAATGCTGCTAGGGACTTCTTCTAGCTGAAAGGCTCTCAAGAGTTCAGCTGCTATTTGCGCAGAAACGGGCACAGTTACGGACCTTGACTACGAGACCATTTTCGTTCAGAATGGTTCAGAAAATCCAAATTCTGCATTTGAAAATGCCAACTGGGCAGGTTTTCAATTTCTGGCCCGTTATCTGACTGTCTGAAGAACGCGACTGTGTGATTATTTATGAAGTTAAAACTTGCATATTTTTGCCTGATTTAGCACAGGAACAAAATGGGTTCGTTCGCGGTAAGATTGCATTTTTAGCAGGATTTTGAGAAGAAAAATTTTAAACCTTAAACGTGCTTCAAACAGTAGATAGTGCATCTTAATATGCTGAGCTGAGCGGACCAAAACGCGATAACGTGCATGTGAAGACTTGCGTTCTCACCAAAGTGCTGCACGGGCATTTCTGCGATTATTTCTAGTTGTTGGTTGTGCATATTTGGGCTTCGAGTTGGAACCCTAAAAGCGATCATTCGCAGTTTTAAAAACGATTTTAAAAGGTTTGCAAGCTCGTTTGCACTGTTACCAGACTGTACAAAATATACACTAATAAATAACAATATCGAATTCTTCCTCGATCAATGTTGGTGGCGATTGATCACAACCAGTGCGGTACTCGAGGAAATTGGCGCAGCCCTTAGCTTATTATTAATTCGATCGCAAACAAAACTGATTTGTGGGCGGCAATTGTGTAAAAAGCCCATAAAACGAGAAATCTGTGACCCACTTGCAGCCACAGCAAACATTTCCCAATCGAATTTGAATCTTCAACTTTTAGGCGCATCGACTGTTTGGAGAGGAATTAGTGGGACCACCCAGTCGCAGTGTACATGAAGAAAAACGGTAATTTTTTACCAAATCGAGAAGAAAAATGTTAAATGGGTTTCGACACTGATGTCCCAGAAGCTCATTGACTCCACAATGGTCATCGTCCGAGAAGATGGGCCTTTTTACTTACACTGTTGCCATCCTAGGAAAAGAAATTTCCCTGATTTTCGTACATAAACCGGGGCAAAGAAGAGCGTGAGCTGGGGATCACTTTGGTATTCAACATTTCTTTCTAGACTTAGTGATATTTAGTGCTTTCGTCGTATTCCCCGTTTACTTGCGACACAGTGACTGGCAATCGAAACCAGAGTGACCACAAATATTTCGAATTATCACTTTTCCGATTGTTCTCGTGATTTCTTTGCACATTCTCCAATGGAACCTTCAGCAGGTTCCTGAATTCGCCGAACAGAAAGCTTCATCCTCCGAGTGCGAGCCCAAGAAATTGCTTTAGACGCTCCTTCCCGGAGAGAAAGTGCGGCAACACCGAAGGGTACTTTGGTGCTTTGAGAGTACCTAGTAGAACGAGCGGGGTGACACGCATCGCAAGTACCAGCAGGTCGACAACCGCAAGCAACCCCGTTGCGAGGTGCGCGGTAGAAAGTCACAAGGGCGGGTCTGGTGACGATGGGCTTGGTACCACTCGGAACCGACCGACAGACCTCATTATTTCACATGAAAACGAGAAATTAAGCGCGATGAGTACGAAAAAATCTAGCCAGGGACGCATTTATAGCGTTTATATGGGGGGGTCATAAGTTTGAACAATCAACATTCGTCTTCGGGCTCTTGTGATGGGTACCTGCTTAATGATAGGAGGCGCAGAAATAACGGGAATCCCAAGAAAGGAGCAATTTGAGCCAACATTGCTTAAAAATGGTTGTAGAACATTTGAATTTTTTTGAAAAATTTTTGAGGCGAAATACCCAAAAAGAAGTTTCTAAAAAAATGAATCCGCCTCAACAATATAGAACTTATCTAGAATATTTGAGTTACGGTGTTGATGAAAACGCTGCAAGCTACTGAACGTTTCGCTGGCAGCTGTTGCAAACATTCTCAAACTCATAATTGAGTGCTACTCATGTTTTGCGTAAATTATTTACAAAAAACCCTCGGTGATTTCAGACAAAAGACCCGATTCCAGGAATACATGCAAAGACTCCTTTCAACACTTTCCTTGCATAATCGCAACACTGTTCATACGAAAACACCGGGGTTTTTCAGGCAAATTCCTACATTTATCGCCTAGATGGACAGGCGAAATCAATTGAGCGAGCTAAACAGCCTTTTTTACTGTTTACCTACTAAATTTGCCCACAAAACCCTTGCCAATTACCAGAGGCATGCACCATGTGCTCACCGAAGTAAAACCGAAATTAAATTACTTTTTTCTGCATCGATCAGAAAAACAAAAATAGGCCAATAATTTAACTGTATTTTCCATTTGCGCATGAAGAACGGAAATGTTTGGCCTAGGCAATGCGTCCACTTTTTCTACGATAATTCTACAAACAAATCGTCGTCTAATTAGGACATTATCCACATTCGCTGGTTATCAGCAGGGAACATTGTCTAGACATCGGTTATCTGTTCGAATAGGGATGGGGTGGCTTCCTCTATTTAAACTATGCGCTTCAGGAATCACAATCCGAAGTTTACGGGTAGTGGCTACAGATAAAGCTTTTATCGAAGGGGGATTCAAAACAAGTGTACTCAAACGAGACCATGCCACATTTTTGCTTTGCCTACTATTGAAATTTACAGTTGCAACCGCTTGAAAAGTATCGACTGGAAAGGTAACAGCAGAAAAAACACCATTTGATACCAAAATACATGCTAATATTTTCACTAAAAGCAATAGAAATGTCTTTGTCCACAAAGTTCGATTAATACAAAATTCCTCTAGATATATGTAACAAACAGTGGGGATTACACAGAATAAAATAAGAAATCCTACTCTTGCGCAGCTAAGTAGTAAGAAACGCAATTTAAAAAAATCCTGCAAGTTAACGGACCGCAAATACAATGCGAGAAAACCTCCCTAAATATATAAGGAACTACAAACTAGCTTAAAGTATAATCAGTTGACTCCACTCTACCAAAACATCGCTACGAAAACTGAACATAAATTACCAAAGGGATGCTCGTGGCGGAAAGTTCCAAAACAAATTATGCCGGCACTCAGGCGATAAATATGGCAAAAAACCACAAACACCGTATTTGGGGAAATTTTCTTAACAAGAAAGGGCTATTTCTGCTTAACATCCTTTAGAAGGCTGGAAAACTGGGTCGCTAATCAGTATTTAAACAGTGCTTGTAATGTGGACCCGACATACAAACAAAAAAATGAAAATCCCTTAATCAATGCGCCTTATTAAAAACCAATTGAGCATCCCCAAATAGTACAGTCTTGTTTTCGTCTCGAACTTCGCACGTAAACGCTACTTTAACAATTTTTCGAACATCAACAATTCGTACAGTAACAGTGACGATATCGTGTACGAAGCATTTGTTGGGAAAGTTCAAAGTTTGCTTTACGACCAGAGTACCAGGACCTGGAAGTTTGGTGCCAATCACCGCAGAAACTAGCGAATTTAGGTATGCTCCATGTGCTATCGGTCTCTGTTGAGTGTGAACGGGGTTACGGTCCCCGCTAAGCTCCATAAACTTTCTAAGGTCCTCGGGAGTGATCTTCTTGGTAATTGAGGCGCGATCGCCAATTGTCAAGGATTTTTTAGCCGCCTCATGGCAGTATCGTCTAAAGGAAGATCTCAGCATTACTGCTGAGCCTGAGGAAGGCCGTAGGTATCCAGAAAGAGAACTCCCAAGTTGCGAAATCTGGGGTTTGAGTGTGTGCTATACTCGGAAATTTTGGACTGGAGATCTTCGGACAGTTCGTTTTCCCCTTGTCCTTGAAGCAGGTAGAACAGCGTGGTCAAGGAGTTTAGAGCGATTTCTTCATTCGGGTGGCATAAGAATTGAGCAACCAGTTTCACTCCGTTCAGAGTGATTATGTAGTCTCTACTCTCAGGATCTGGGAAAAAAGCACGAAGTTTACAAACTGTATCTAATGCTGGCGTTTACAGCACACCAGAACCAGAACGACTGATTGTATTATTCACGTACCACAGCAAATATTACATAATCCAGCCAGCGCGTAATGGATGAGTTCTTCGGCGTTTTCAGATAGTTGCGCCAAAAACAAGTCGATGATATGGAACTGCTTGATGTACTCGTAGTTGATGGGGTCGTAGGCGAAATTGGCCAGATTCGCTAAAGTCTGCTTTTTGGCCTCTATAAATCAGATACACACACGTGATAAGAGCTAACTTTTAGTGGAATTTGGAACCCGGCAGTGCCATGTGGAATGCGAACAAAAACACTTACCATACGATCTTGTTGTGGTAAATTCGGTTGTCAGCTGTTTCAGAAACGCTTCGCGCCCCACGCCGTCTATTCCTGTTTTTTTATTCAATTGATCTTTCCTGCTAAACATCTTAAGTAAAAAAAACACTTCCACAACTTGGACAAAACAATAACAGATCTTTAAATAGACTGATGACTGATGTCATTTTTTTGACAGTCCTTCAGTCGAGAAACGTTTTATTGCTTGCTCACTCGCACACATACATGGACGTATCTTATCAACAGCGAACAATTTTCAGTTTAAAATTTCTGAATTAATGTTTAATTTTTGCGATCAAAAGTAATTAACTTCAATTGTTTAGTTGGAGTTTAATTGCATTGTATTCTGATTATTGCAACCACCAAAACGGCTATGGCGATACTAAGAGTGCTGCAAAGCACTAAAATAGTTAACCAGAAGCAGAAATGTCCACTGGAGCTCAATCGCTGGAAACACTGCTGTTTATTATCAATTTTCTTCACCCTGCTGTTCTCTGCTGGTGGATCAAATGCAGTCAATTCCAACTGCTGGACCGGAGTAGCTTCCAACGTTTGGACTGTTTCTTCCATCGTATGGAAACAAATATATTTAAATATTTCGCTGAGGTTAAATGTCACAAACTATGACAAGCGGACGGCAAAACGAGGTGTTCTGTGGCAAACGTTTCCAGGACATTTTGAAGATTAATATTGCATTAAAATACCAGTAATTTCTCGCGTCAGCTGGATGTTTTCTTAATTATAAAATTTTTGCAGTTGTGACAGTTTCGCCCTAAAGGGCTCGTTTGATTTGTTCAATTATATTGGGCGTGGCAAGCCAGGTTCTTAATTACAGGAATCTGTTTGACTGAATGGCGACTAACTGATTTTGAGTCAAAATGGAGAAGGTGCTGTCGTATCCAGACGAATACGTCCAGTTTCAGGTAAGAATTTTGCTTCAATTTACTCAAAAACTGCCCAAAAATAGTCAAATCTGCTTTCCCATGTTGAGTCCGCGGATTGAAATGCATATTTTGAGCAAAGAAATTAATTAACCTTTATGTGGAGCAGCCTAGATGGGGCCCCAACCTACTGTCGTGTACAGTGACTCGTTGCTACACATTTTTCGATTCTAACAACCAAATGTATATTTTTATGTTGTTTTTCAAAAATGAGAACATTAGTTAAAGATCGTGGACGCTCAAAAAGCGCTTAAAGTATGCCCAAAATATCGATAAATTCGCAACTGAGACTTTTAGCGCGTGTTTCAATGTGTTCGAGGGCATTTCTCGCGTCCGTCAGATGAAAATGATGTAAAATTTAAAACGTTTTGAATATTTTTAAATTTTTTTCAGAAAATCAACCCTCATCCTTAGAAAAATATCGGCCAAACCTCAAAATTCCACGTGCGGGTTTTTTGAGCTCAATCGGTTCCTTTCGAAATAAGAAGCTCACAAATGGGCATTTATAAAGGTAAAAGTAAAGAATCGTCGGTTAAAGATCGTGAACGCTCAAAAAGCGCTTAAAGTGTGCCGAAAATATCGATTATTTTGGAACTGAGACTTTTAGCGAGTTTTTCAATGAGTTCGAGGCATTCCTGGCGTCCGTGAGATGAAAGTGATGTAAAATGTAAAACATTTTAAAAAAAATTTCAAAATATCGACCCCCACCCTTAGAAAAATGTCGGCCAAAACCCAAAATTTCACACGCGCGTTTTTTGAGCTCAATCGATTCCTTTCGATGTGAGAAGCTCACAAATGTGCATTTATAAAGGGTTTGGGTCAATAATAAGGAAGAAATTGTCGGTTACAAATCGTGCTCTCAAAAAACGCTCGAAGTATTCTAAGTTGCTTCGATTTGAGCCCTTCTTGCCGAAATAATCTAATTTATGTCTCATTCTTTATTATTCACCACAGCTTGAATGGGAGGGGGACGCAGATAAGATGGAACAGTGTGAGGATATCGAAAACCGTAAATTATACGTTGGTTAGAAGGGAAAAAAGTTGCACAATCAACACGTTTATAAAATGGTGCTTAAAATCTTGGATACCGGTTTTCGTTTGTGACTTATTTCGAAGAAACCGATTTTTTCGTTTAACTTTAGGGGGGAAACGGTCCTTTTTATTTCAGGATATTTAAATCTACTGGGTAGATTGAATAGTTCCTTGCTTTATTTATCACACTAATGACGCTATCACACTAATGACGCTATTTTCCAGTACATAAGATCCTGGTAGATAATGGCCAATATTTAAGTAAAGGTTAACCAATTAGAATGTTTTGTGCACTACTTGGCCACTTATATAATATTACACAAAAAAAAATTACAAAGGTTTACCGAACAAAATTATATTGCGGTTGAAGATGCTTCCAACATCCAAAGGCCCTGAATACACTTTCTGCTTATAATATTTATAGGCAATATCGCTTAATCTACCCTGAAAAATATAAGGCTGAGTGTAAAAAAACTGCCAAAAGAACGCAATATTGCAAAACCAGCCCCGCTAAGTCGTTGTTTCCTGAACAGCCCTCCACGAATTATTGCTAAAACGAAAAGCCAGAAGAACACCTGAAAACAAAACTAAACATGTTTATCTCCCGTTGATCTGGCTTGTGTCTTTTCTCGTCAAAGCAAACAAAAGAAATGAAAGAGACGATTTCAATTTAGCCTTTTTTATCTGGTCGCTTCTTTTTTCTCATTCGACGGAATGGTCCCCGTTTACTCAGTTGATTGCGCCCGTAAATGAAAAGGTAACTGCATTTTCGTTTTCTCATTTTTGACACTTTGGGTTATTGGATTGGATTCTCTGTTCAGCTGCAAGACAGTTTCCCATTGGAAATGCGCTTTCCAACTGATAATTTCACTCCTACAAAAGCTTAGGTGTTTAGGTGATAAGTTGCAACTTATCCCCCTCGATAGTCAAGCAGACTGCCATTCTCTTAAAGATGTTGATCAATAATTTGGCTCGCCGTCTTTGGCCTGTCGACAAACTTCTTTTGTTTTACTATCGCGCTTTCCGATGAATATTCAATTTCGGCCCTTGACGTTTGAAGGCCCTTAATAATTAAAATTCTTTTTCGGAATTTCAATGTTGGAGTCACGTACTTTTATCGAGAACAGACAAGGGGAATTTCCAAAGTCCCGTCTATAATTTAGGGGACTTTTAAAACTTGCATCCTTCGAAATTTATGCCATGCAAACCATACCGGACCGAGTTGCGGATTACACGAATCGTTGATGAGGAGATTTAGAGGATTTTCTTGATCTGATGTTCTAAACAAAGGAAATACCGGTGGAAACTGTTGCTAAAGACTCGTCACGTAATGGAGCAATGTGCTTGAGTGCGATTGGCAGCATTTTGATAAAAATGGTGATAAGCAAACACCCCAAGTTGAAAGTTTTCAGCGCATCTGTGAAGGTGGAAATAATGTTTTCGCAACTTTGGAAGTTTATAGTGCTCTCCTGCGGATATCTAATTAAAACACCAGCAAAGTTTCGAGCCGTCAGAGATGCTGAGACAGTGTTACATCTGAGCTGGCAAATTTTTGCAGAAAGATCCATGGCCAAGCCTGTTTGTTGGGAACTTTAAATCTTCAAAGTAGGCTTTTCTCCTTCAGAGTTCTCCAATGTTCATCTACAGTCATGTTTAAGGCATTGGCGTTTCCATCAATATTGTTGTTCCAGCGTCAGAAGCTATAAAGCGAAATCCCAACGGTCCCAGTCAAAGCCGCGCTCAGTAATCACATGGCAGTAAAAAACAAACACGAAATCAATATGAATTCACGAAGACAAATCAAATTTGTTCTAGCGCTCAGCGACAAAGGACTTTCACGTACAAATTCAATGATGAAGATCAAACAATGGTGTAGATGCGCGCCAGAACAGAAAGGGCTTAATTAATAGCTGAGCCTGACCCGGTTGAGATAAAAGCCGGGCCGGTGTCATTATTTCACTAAGCCCAATTAAAAAAGTGTAATTGCTTTTAGGGCTGTTTATAATTCGGCTTTTTCGCCACTGTTTCGAGGCCCGGACGGCCAGATTTTTCTACAATTCAAGTGGGCGTAAACAGCTGCAGCCGTCTTCGCCCGTTTAGTTGCTGCATCCATTCACCTCCCCTTTGTAAAGTTGAATATCAGCAAATTAATTAATTGTAAAAGCTGCTTGCAAAGTTCCAGACAACTGAAAGGGGGGCGGGCGAGTCTTCAAATATTGAAACAGACGAAGCGGCACATCGTTATAAATTCATGTGTCTTAATCGGCTCCAATTGCGAATTAATTAACGAAAAGAAGCTGAGTTTGGGATTCAGTTGCAAATCTTTGTTGTTGAGAGGGGGCTGTTATTCGGAACGTCAAATCGCTTATAATTGGTATTTAGTCTTCCTCCTTCTCTTCAATCAAACGTTTGGCATGCATCGGCGTTGTTCACGCTTCCTGGAACACCAAACTACACTCTTCAGAAGATCTTAGTCTTTGGCGCTGGCGAAACGTTCTTTCTAACAGCTGTAGCGCATGGTTTTATATGAAATACGTTTACGTTGATTTACCGGGATTAAATTTAACGGTGGCCGGTGACTTAAGCACATCCGAAAGAAAAACACAAAAGAGGAGGCGTTAAACCGGATTAGGAGTGATAAATAAAAACAATTTGGCCGACGAGGCTGGCGGAAGGGACCATATCCATCACCACTAATTAAAAGGGGACTTTCAGTTTATTAATATGTATTAGAATGCGAATTTTTCGAGCGCGAAATCATTTTTAAGGTGAATTTGAAATGGGGCTTGACTCCCACCTGAGGCGCGGTCAGAATACCCAATTTAAATCCGGGAAACTTCAATTTTTCACTTGGTATCACAGTTGTTTTGGAAAAGGATAAACCGTGAGGCTTCGGGTTGGTTTAAGTTGGGAACGATCCCAAACACCTATTTAGACTAGCAAATTACGTTTTGCGCGTCTTTAATTATTAAAGCAAGCAAACAACCGAAATTGAAACAAAACTCCCTCGCATCTTTGTGGTAATGCGAAGCTTTCTAAGTCCCCAAATCTTATTCCGATTATAGCCGGAAGCTGTTTACTTTTAATATTAGAAATACGCTTAATTTTCCAGTTTCAATTAATAGAGGAGGCTGCTTTTCCAGTTTTGTGTTTTTCTTTGCATAAATTAGTCGATTAGCTACATTGAACACACTGGAAAGTGCCAATATGTCGGGCTTGGAATGGAAATTGGACTGGAAAGTCACATCTCCTTAATAATAATCAATCCAGCAGGCTAAATTTCATTAAATTTGAAATTATTTCAATTGAATTTGAGTCAAACCGGGAATTTTCTTCGCCGTTTCAATTAAGGGAAACATTGAAGGTTCGTTTTAACTGCGAGGGCAGAAAAGGGGACAAATTATTGTGCAATACTTTGCACTAGACTGCGAAATTTATTATTATGTTTGGCCCGAAGGAAACAGTCCAGATGATATGAACACACCACAGGGTTTTACCTCATTGACAGGAATTTACTTGATTAAAACTCATAGAGAAGCAAGCAAACTTGAGGAGGGCATTGAAAGCTTAATAAAGTAGGATTGAAATGCTTTAAACCCGTATAGAGCGCAGCAAGAATTTACAAAAGCCCTTCAAGGGCATTTTTATCCCGGCGCATTATAAAGATATCGCTTTCCTGGATGCAAAGTGGGGCATTGAAGAGCTGGTTCCGTCCAGAGGGAGTGTTTACTTTAGGAATTTATTTGTTCCATTACTTTCAGCAAGATTTGTAAATCTCTCCTTTAAGCGAATACGGAAAGAATGGCTTTCGAAATTTCCAAAACTCAATACCTGCAGAACAAGTCCCATTAAAACTGATTGGCCATTCCATTGAGTTAGTTTCGGCAATCAGGCAGGGTAAAAGGAAAATAGTTTCTTGGAAAAACTGGCACAATAAGTCCAGGTATTGG